TAGGTGCTACCTGCGGATAGGGATACTTTGGCTTAGTAACTGTCTTGCCCCAAGACGTTTCTCTAACTCAGGCTACTGCCACCACCACCTTGCAGTTCTGGGCCGTTTTTGAGTGCCGGTTTGCGTTGGTCTGGCCGTCTAGTAGACAGTGTCCCGTGCCTTTGTTGACCACACGTAGTAGTCATGACACAGAGGTGCAAAGCCTGCTGCAGAAGCAGAGACTGGAGATGGTCGAGATCCCATGATCAGTATATCAAATCCTGCGGTGCCACCGTGTCTGATCATGGAGACGATTCTCATCGACTGATGTGCTGTGGCTCTGCTCTGGGAACAGCGACACGCAGCCGAGCCATGAGGTCAATCCCCGACAAGACGACGCGATGATGCATCCGTGACCGCCGCCTGAAAACAGCGTTGCAATTGCCGTGCACACGAAGTGCCATCTCGATGCTCCGAGGGACTCTGATGGACACAATATTTGACGATGCTATTTCCGGCGCGATAGGCAAACAAGGCAAATACAGTCCGGCGCACTACTAGCGCTCAATCCGTACGGATACGCCCGTTTTGAAGAGATATGTAGCGCAGAGTTCGAAACAGGGGTACGTGCCTATCTCGACTCGGGACAAGGTGAACACTGGCGGATGCGGGGGAAGGAAGGGTTCTGGGGTCCTGGGTCTTGACTCTTGACTCCCGATTCTCAACTCTCGAGGCAGGCACAAAGTGAGTCGCGACGTACATTTCACAACCTATGGGAAGGTAGGTGCACAATTCCTGTGCGAGCACGGATATGTACCGCGCAATTACACATCATTATGAGCTTACTTAAGCCGCAGCATCAGAGGACAGGACAGGCCAGGCACGCAGGCCGAGGGACGGACGGGAGACCAAGACGTAATTCAAAGAGTCTCAGAGCTAGAGACCGATACCTACCCTATCCGTTTTTCCATGACAAGTACCTACCTCGTAGCTTCGTAGCACAAACCGTGAAGCTTGGCTCACTTGGCGACCCTGAAGTGCCTGACCGGTTGATGTTGACGTTGACGTTTGACATTGACGTTGACGTCTGGCCGAACGCTTTGGTGTCCCTTTGGTCGGACCGTTTCCTCAACCCATCTCTGTTTCCGCCTCTGTGTCTCTCTGCGTCTCTTACACACACTCGCACACGCACACGCACACCCTCACCCCTATCAATAACTGCTCTACCGCCCGGAAAAGCTCCCCTGCGGTATCGTCCGAGAAGAGCAAAAAATCATTTGCAATTGTGCAACGGCGCCATGCCCATTGTAGCGACACGCCATCCCTATTCGTGCTCCTGACAAAAAACCACCAGGCCAATAAGGTGCCGGATGAGACCTGCCAGCCCGTGCCAGACCAAAACCCGCCCCGACGTCTGATTCATGCACTCCCGTCACTCCTCTCCATCCACGCACGACTGGCTCAGACATGGAACTCAACCAGGACTATTCGTACCCGTACTTTACTTTACGTACGGATACCTACCTACGGATATACGACGCCAATAGGTAACCCACTGGACGTCAACCTGTGCAACAGTACCTAGCCCGCTTTCACCTCTTTTTGGGGCCCATCTTCGGGGTATACAGCGGCACGGGCCCCGACTTTTATATCTTTTTCTTCTGATACTGCGTCTGCGGTACTATTCTCTCCACGGTGCCTGTCCGCAGACTTCAAGTACCTTGGGTAAATAGATGCCAAAGTTGACGCTCGACGGGCAGAGCACATGGCAGCAATCCTTACAGGGCACCGGAGAGCTTTTAGAGATCGGATTGTTTCAATCAACCACCCAACCCCACCAAAACCGGTCTTTCGTCCCGAGGTATCCATTCCATCCATTCACCGACGTTCCTGTTCACGGTCAGACCCGTCCTTTGGCCTCCCTTAATTGCAAATCTGCTTACGCTTGATTCTAGAAGTTGTTGATGCATTCAAACGCACACTGGACAGAGTACGGCACGCCAGTCAACGGCCATGATGCAGACCGAGAGACAGACTGACGACGTGAATATTGGGTGTGTCCTACCATACCTCTTCTCCTTAGGCTTACGGATCCCCCACCAATAGGTTTGGCCCCTCATCGTTGCCACCTCTTACACCATACCCGGCCTGATCGCCGGTCCGCCCACCAACTGGTCGCATTCCACTGATTACCCATCCCGGCCAGCTGAACACAGGCAGACGATGAGTGTGTTATGGCATGACTGTTGTTTCCGTCAAATTTTACACTCATGAGTTCGATCTTGTGTGGGCAGCGTAATGCAGCCGTTTCCAGCGAGGCCGGGCCTGATGCACTCCGATCTCATCTCGGCCAGTCCATCCGTCTATCGTTCCTTGGTAAGACCGAAGGCGGATTGGGTCAGGAACGTGAACGGGAGCGGCAAAAGTCCATAGGGGTACCGAGCAGGGTTCGCCGAAGAACGTCTGCGACGTCGGCGTGGGACAGGTACGCTTCACACTGCGTAGAGTATCGTGTCGACTCGCATCCGCATCGCACAACGCAAGCAAGCTGGGTACAGACGCTGCAACTCCAGAAAGCTCACAGATTCTGCACCAGTGCGCGCCGCCACAACCTTGACCAACCATACATGCAGAGTCTGTGCATTGTGCGACTCGCACTCGGTCGGCTTGTTGAGCTGGATTATTGTGAGATATGCAGCTCAGCAACCAAGTCAGTCGAATCCATCAGTTGAAAGCAAGTCGAGTCCGACGATTCCACAATTTGAGAAAATCAAGACTGAAAAAAAGAGAGGGTACACACTCGCAGGGAAAAGTCTAATCATGAATCAAAGGATCAGTTCAAGATGAACAGATGTCAGCCTCCTGGACGTATCGCTCGTGCTTCCGCCGTCTGTGCCCACCTCAAGAGCAGTGTCAAGGTGCGTTGACCTTCGTCTCTCCAACGAAGGGAAGTGAACAGTGTCAGACACATATGTGACATTTCGTCAGATGAATGAAGCAGGACCACCGAGCCGACGACGATCCCTGAGCAGTTGAGGTTATCCGAATGCGCCTGGCAAAGTTCGTCGGTCACCAATCTCTGAACTCGGACCCGCCCAGATTGCCCTCTCAATGGTCAGTATCAGTCCAAGCACATACAGGCGAGATGATGTGAGGTAAGGTGAGGGCAGGTGAGGGCAGTTGAGGACCTCTAAGGTTGCGGTATCAACGACCATGATTATCCGTTGACCAGATGCCACCAATGCTAGAGTTAGAAGCCAGGAACGAGTCGGGGAGACGAATCAGCTGTGCCTAGCCCGCTCCGAATGCGCCTGCATGTGCCGTTTCTTAGGCACCTCTTGGATAGGCAAGAAACTGTCGGACCTCCACGATCGGGAACCCTCGTCGTTCTTACTATGCCTCATCCGTCCATCCAGCAGCGGCCGATTCCAGCAGCGGGCCACAGCCTGGCCATATTCTAGCATCATCCTGGCATCAGATCACAGAGCATCCTGTCCCGCTGGGTCCATGGCGTTGGCTTAGTTTTGGGCTGTGGCTTGAGCCGGGACCGCCTCGAGAGCCAGGGACAGGCCCCAATCCCACAAGAAGAACAAGGGTCATCATCAGCAGCGAAGCTGGAGCCGGGATAGGGATGGTCGACAGGGACTAGGGCGGTACGACAAGCAGTACAAGGGCAGGGGCGTGTGTCTCGAAAGGAGATAGCCGCAAGTCAGGCTTGTCAATTGAAAGAAGTCTTTCCCGTCGCCTGGGTCTGGTCGTGGCACCAGCTTCGGCCGTGGTTCATAGGTTCCCTCCCGCGGTCACTGTGTCATCCATGTGCAGTAAACAGATAGTGTCGAGTGACCCTTGGACCAATAATAGGATCAAGTTGATACCACGGATGTGAAGTGATGCGGGATGATAGCTTGGGCTCGAGAGGACACCACTTGAAGTTATCTCGAACCGAGGAGGAAAGTAAAGAGGAAGAAAGGCAAGAGGGAAAGAGGAGGAATCGGGCAGTTGAGGCTCGTTGGTAATACCTACCTTCCTAGTGATGGTGGTGCTGGTGGTGGTGAGAGGTACATCCGAATCCTACCCGTGCTGAGTGCGTAGGTATGTCGAGGACGGATGGCTCACCCTGTTGGATGGGTACAAAGCAAGTGACAAGCGGCCCCGTTCCGTACCGCGATTTGAGGTGATCTCCCACGCTACCAGTTTTCCTCCCCACGCACCTCACTGGCTGGAGAGAGCGACTCGGGCCTGGATCTAGGCCTTTCTCCTATCAAGGCTTCCATACTCCGTACCAGACCTCGAGGTACCGCAAGAAATGTACTTGTCTCTTCCATTGCTCAAAGGCGACGACAGCGACAACGATAACTACACTACAACGACGGATATAGCTAATGTCGACCTGAGCACTGGCACTGGCTCTGGCACTCTCCGTCTCTTTTCTTCTCCTTCTCTTTCTCTTCGTTCTCACATCTCTTGCGGTTGCCAGCCCACGCCCACGCCCATGCCCTCACCCATCCCCACACCTCCTGTTCCCGATCTTAGAGGAAGATGTACTTTGCACGAGAACCTCGCATGCCTTTTCTAGCTTTGTAGCTCCCTTTCGCTAGGTTCACCCCAAAAAGTCCGTCCTCTGACACCCAAGATTAGACAGGGAAGGCGGCTCGCCCTTTCCCAGCTTCTTCGGATCGTGCTCTTCTGCATTCTGGACCTCTGCCTCCCGGAGCTGTCCCATGGGCCACCGAGTACCGCTTGCTGCCGCTACCGCTGCGCTGCCGCTACCGGTGATGTTGGCACTTGCCCATGGTACGAAGTACCTTCTCTCACGGACCTGGGCTGGGTTCCAATTCGGACTAGGTGGGCGTGGGCTAAGTAGGCGTGGGTGTAGGTGTGGGCGTGAGAATGAGTGGGAGCGTGGGACATGGGGCGTGTGCCGGGGGATTTTCACGAACCGTCGCTCCACTTACCATCATCGCCCATCACCCGTCTCTTCTGCTTCTGCGTCTGCGTCTGCGTCTGCGTCTGCGTCTGCTCTGATCCTGATCCTGATCCTGATCCTGATCCTGATCCTGATTTTGATCTACTCGTCTGGACTGGGGCAAGTTCCTTTCATCTACGACACCCCCGTTCTTATTCTCCCACCCTCTAACCAGGTTCGACCCAAACCTTATCCTTTCTTATTCTTTCGTTGTCGTCCCCCAGGCCCTTCAATTTTATTCCTGTAGTCGGTCACATACGCAGTATCCGTGCCTACCTACACACCTCCTTCTGAACGCACAGCCTTTCCAACTTGAACGCTTCTGCTTTTGGCTCGGTTTCTCCACCACGCTGCTTCCACCTGCTCAACAACATATATACGCAGACATCCCACGCTCATCCAAGACCTCATTCAGCCTCTTCACTTCCAGCATCAACTTGCCATTAGCCTTCAACTACCACTTTGCAACTATACTTCTTCTCCTGCCATATACATACACATAACACACGCACACGCACGCACACTGATACATTATCGTCGGACTCTCTTGTACTCTGTCGATACCGATACTCGCAAATCAACACTTCAGCCACTACCTCGCAAACTCCCCCACGGCCAAAGATGTCTCTCGCTTCTCAAAGGAGAGGGCCTTGGTCCCAACAGGAAGACGCCTATCTCATGCAACTTGTCAACGACCAGGGCCCCTTGAACTGGGTACGAATTGCTCAAGCCCTGGGAACAAGGACACCGAAGCAATGCAGAGAACGATTTCACCAAAATCTGAAGCCCACCTTGAATCACGAGCCCATCACTCCCGAAGAGGGTGCCCAAATTGAGATTCTCGTCAACGAGATCGGTAAGAGGTGGGCAGAGATTGCAAGACGGCTTCACGGCCGCAGTGACAATGCCGTCAAGAACTGGTGGAATGGAAGCCAGAACCGCAGAAAGCGTCACGATCGTCGCAGGGCCAACCAAGGCAGCACCTCCGGCTACGACGACCGCAGATATGGTCACTCTGGTTTCCGACCCACTCTCACCATCAACTCTCACGCCGCCTCCTACCCTCACACGAGACACGGCATGTCATCGCCTGTCTCTCCCGCCTTTTACACCCACAGCCACCCTTACTATCAACTCGAGTCGCCGCTTCCGTCGCCCAACTCTACCTCTTCGCCTGGTAGTGATGGTCTTGACGGAGAGACGTCCGCCATGTCCGATGCCGCCTCAAGCTACACCACTTCCCCCCAATGCCTCTCGCGGGGTACATCGCCATCTGTCCAACTAGCCCCGCTCCGCATGGACGAGAACTCGGCCCCTCGCTCGCTGCCTTCCTTCGGTAGCCTCATGAATGCTCCAACCGACAGAAAAGAAGCTGGCCACATGCGCCTGCCTTCTCTCCCATCCCACCTCCTCACAGCACCCAACTCGCCTGTGAGGAGTACGGTTCAACAAGCCCTGCCGCCGCCATCTCCTTCGGCTGCGGATAAGGACTCTAGAATGGATGTTTCCGCGCTTCTGGGCTGAGGACACAACGTATTCGACTTTTTCTTTTGTACTCCGAGGGATACAATCCTCATGTATGCCACAATGTACCACTAAAGAGTACATGGGTTCTGGAATCGCAAACCACGTCTAATGGGCGGTACGTCTGGGAATGGGACGTAAAACTTGTACCCTGGGGGGCTTTTTTTTTATAGCTTTGATACCTGATATTCAAACCCTAGCGAGGGGATGGCGCAATTGGGAGACCTGATAAATCAAAAAGGTCTGGCATGGGATGGCGGCAGGACGGTAGAGATTCAGGAATAGAATCTCATGCTCCTTGAATTTAGCTATACTGTCGTATAAGGTGTATACATCACCAATAATCAAAAAGTCACGAAATTACATCTACAACTACAAAATGCATTGTGACATGAGAAAATGGCAACATGGTCACAACTTCCAAGTTTTGTGTGGCCCAGGCACACTATCTGGTTACGGATACCTACTGAAGCACTCAAGCGGTCCTGATCAAGTCGGCAGTGCCTGGGCGAAACGAGGGGGGTCTCCCACGTTGGTTGGCAGCCACGTCAGCGACGATGAGTGGGAACCTCAAACGTCCAGGGCCAGACTTTCCATCGGTTTTTTTTTTTTTTTTTTTAAACAGTTCTTCCCCGCCGCCGTTGGTTCGGCTGATATGGGTCCTCGATCAAAGTTTGTGCAACGTGGGTGCATATACATATATGGCTCATTCACCGTGACTGTGTGGCGCGAGGCGCAAGGAGAACCTCGGGACCCAGGCACACAGGGTAAACATATCAAGGTAGACTGGCTTACGGGTTGATGACAGAGTTGGTGGTTGGTTAGTGAGCGTGCAAACTCACATCTGGGCGAGGTTCTGCAGACATCGGATGGCTGAGATGCTCCAATTGCGGACAGGTAAGGATGGCAGTGGCTCAGGTAGCTATCAAGGGCGCTAGACAGGGACAAGAGGTACAGGTGAGGCGGAGGACAGAGCGTTCGGTCAGGGTCAACGCTCGCAGCCAAACACGAGATCGGGGATGTTCTGCTGCAGATGAGCGGGTGGGCTTTACCAGTGTCGATCATGACGAGGATCATGGCAGCGGAATGGGGCAGATGGGAAGAGCGATGAGCGGCGGGGACAAAGAAAAGCGAGGGAGAAGGCGGGCGGCGCGACATGGGGCGGCCGTCATGCATTGCATCGCATGGCGGATAAGGAATCTCTCGTGTGCCTACTTTCATCCATTCACGCATATGAGTCTCGAGTGTCGAATGAGTCGAGGAAGCATTGTCTACCTAGCAGACACGTACACGTTCGTTGCATACTCGTAAACAGATGGGCGTTTGTACTCCAATCTCATGATGGCTTCGTTCCTCAGCAAAACCTTGCACGGAGGAGTAGACGCAAGCATTCATCTACCGCAGTAGGTACGGAGTTTGTAGGGCACTTTCCGGCAACGGAACATGTGCCAAGATAGGATGATTCGGTCAATCAATCTGATGCAATACCAGATGCGGAATCGACGTGAAGATTTAGCCGCATGTAATTGGAGGGTAAGCCAGTGGGGGGTAGGGGAGGAGGGGAGAGGGGGATGAAGCACGGCCGAGAATCCTCCCTCGTCTTCATTCCCTTGCTCACTGAAAAGTCAAATAAACATGTCGGCCAATCTCACTACAGTTCCTCAAAAATTTGTCCAGAGGGGGAGGAGAAAAGTCCAAGACGTAACAAGAACATTGCCTCGGTATCCCCTGTTTGCAAGTTAGAGTATGAAAATATACGAATTTTGAAACTTTGTTCCCGTCATCGGTCCATACGTAGGTAGGCAGCCAAGACCCATGGACAATGCGAATTCGTACTGCGTACAGAGTGCCTTCCTCACAAATGTTTCCCCGAGATGCCCTGCACCTAAGGTACCTACCTACCTACCTACCTACCTTCCTCATGTACCTATCTTGGCTGTACGGGGAAGGCGAGACCCGACGAAGACGGCGTTAGGAAGGCAGGAAAGAAAAAGGGAAGGAGACGGAGAGTAAGGTAAGGTAGGTACCTAGACGGGAGGAATGGAAAGTGACAAAGTGACCTCGGCTAATGTATCTTTCCCATCTTTCCCTTCCATTTCCGTCTAGCCCCCACCACCGCCTCTCTTCCTCGAGGCCGATCCCTAAATCCGGACACCAGACGACGTCAAAGACACGGACTCGACTCGAGATGGTCAACTCAACCCGACCCGACTTACCATTGCTCTTGTGGCTTTGCCCTGACAATTCTTCAAACGACGCAAGGACGAGTTGAAGAGACCCCTCTTCTCTTCTCCTCTCTTCCCGTTTCCCGCGTACGGATACCATGTCCCGTCCATCCTCTTGAGGAATGACGAATTGTAACCGAAAACATCTAGAGAAGAAGGAGCACAGACGTGGCCAAGGCAGCGCGACAGCGACGTCTATCAAATCAATCAAAATCACTCTGACAGATAGTTCGCACATCTTCACATCTGCTGCCGAGGCCCAAGGACTATTTTCGTCTAATGTCTATTGCCTTCTGCATCGCTACCGGGCGTCATTATCGTTGTCGCTGTCTACCCACGCATTCGCATCGCACGTACGCACCCGCTCGCGCTCCCACTGACTGTTGAGGAATTGGCAAGGCATTCGGTCATCCATCAATAGGGGCGACGACAAGCACAGGAGAAGAGGGAAGGGGGGGGAAACGAGGTGCCACGGTGCACCTTGATCTTCGCCGGACCCTGGTCACCCGCCCTCGGAATGTTTGTGTCCCGTTGGCGATCCCTGGTACGGAGTACAACCAGCGGATGGCAGCAACCTGGCAGCGAATTGGCACCAAGGCCGTGCTGATGGGATCAAATAGGATCTGCGGCTCTTTTGACCCAGAAAAGTTGAACACAACAGGGACAGCCACCCAGCTAGCCTCGCACACTCGCCCTATTCAACCCTGGGGCCTGTCACTTTATTGCGTCTCTTAAGATCTACGTTATATGTAACGGAATCTCAGCTCGCCTCGCGACCAAGCGAATCATGGCCATGTGTACGGAGTACGCGGTATGAAAAGAATAAAGCCAAAAAGACAACTTGGAGCCAAAAGAAGGAAGCTGGCCGGTACGCGAGGGACCAGTCGTTTTCGAACCTGGTTGATCAAGGCACCAGCAGGCGCATACCAGATCTACGGATACCTAGGGCGAACGATCGAAGTAAACTTGGCCAACAACAAGCAGGGAAAACCAGCCAATCGTTCTCCAAGCGTAGTATCTGAAAGTATTCCGGTGTCTTGTCTCAGTGACACCCACTTCGTAATTAATCACACGGGTTGTGTGAGCACGCATGGACGATGCCGAGTCCTCCATCTCAGCTCGACCAATCGTGAGTCTAGGGAAGGTGAGAGGCGTTGTCGTCCGAAGCGCCGGCGCAGCTAGGTACCAAGTCACCGTTGACCGTTTCAGACTACCGCCCAGAGAGCACCACGACGGTCACCAGTAGGGTGAGGGCCTGGTCCGCGGCGACCCATATCCAGAAAGTACCAGGAAGACTAGACCCAGCCATACGGGCCGTTTGCAACCACGAGAAAAAGACGTTGGATCGTTCGGCCAAGTCGACACCCGTAGCCCGCGACACAGCGTGCATTTGAATGGAACAAAAAAAAAATGGCGGCCATTCCTCTTCGTTCTACAACTGCAGATCTCGCATCACTTCTCCTCCTTGACGTTGTCGTCATTGGTTACATTCTCGGCATGCATCATCACCAGTGTCATCAAAGGTGCATCCCGGTCTGTTTACTTCATTTGAACCACAGCGATATGGTTGAGAAAGAGATGGTCGAGGGGAGGTGTTTCCAGGACCTTCACCAAGAGAAAATAAAATGAGAAGATTGGAAGTACGTGCGTATCATACGGGCGAAAGAGACCGTTGCTGTCTCCACATGACGAGAGGGAAAAATGAGTGTGTTCATACACTACGGACGGATGTTGAAACCAAAGCATGCTTACCCCAGGAACATGGCAGTTCTTCGCTTTCCCGAGTCCCACGCAGGTTGTGAGCATCCGCGGTCCAGGGGTTCAGCAGCAGCTGAGAGACTTCCTTGGCGAAATGATTCCACATCACATCGGAAGCCCGGCGATCATCTGCGTTACTAGGATCCAATCTCAACATGACTTCAGTGGAGGGTGTACAGTACGGGGGGGGGAGGGGCAGCGGGGGGACCTAGGCGGTTCTTGGCTGCCACTGCGACGCTGTGAGAATACGGCTGCCGTTGCAGTTGGTGATCATGCCCGGAGGGGTTAGACAGGTTTTGGCCGTCAATGAGGAAACGGCCACGAAAGAAAAAGGGGGGAGGGGTGAGATCAGGTGGAAACTGGCCCGGCGTAGGTATACCTTAGAGTACAGAAAAAGGGACATGGGGGGGCAGACCCAATTTCTTGGGGAGCCACTGGGCCAGCAGCTGGATAAACGATGTGAGGTTGAATCTGAGATGCGATTGCATCTGGGCCCAGTTGTGGTTCTCAATGGAATAGTCCCTACGGAATGCTCAGTATCCGTAGGAGTTGGGTTGGATCCGAACGGATACAAAGTGATATAGAGTAGTATTCGTAAGATAGACGACTCTGGGTCGGGACGGCCATGGAACATGTTCGCCCCATGCCCTGCGCCCCGGGCCAATGGGCTCCCGTCGATCAACGGTCGGCCAGCGGCATAAGCGCAGGCGAACGGGGACAAGGGGACACAGGAGACTGGGAGCTGGGAGGTGACAAGGATGGAGCCAGCTCTCATAGCGGGAAGCCTCACGGGCAGGGGTGAGCGAGGCCGTCGCCATTTAGAGAGCGTAAGCAGAATGCATGCGGTATATGGGGATATGCCCCGCTCTCCAGTGCGGGTACGTAAGTACGGATATTCGTGGTGTTCCTACTACGTATGTACGAAGATTCGGTCCCCGGACCATTGAAGTCGACAAGAGACGGAGAGTGGGATTTGCAGAAGCTCTCTGTAGTATTCCCGGGTCCCCACCAACGTAGCTACTAAATATTCGCACACACTGGACACAGGAACAGACTAGGTAATAGTGAAGACCACGCGATCGGGGAGGAGGCGTGGGATGAAGCAAGCAAGCAAGCAAGCACAGGCAAGCTTCAATTCCAATCTCAGCCCGACGACGGGGGGGGCAGACAGGGTGGATGGGAAACAAAACTTGGCCTGTTCATCATCCATGATGCACCAACCAGGCCGTTACCTATGTACAGGTCACGAATATCTACGGAGTACGGGCACACTATGGACTACTCGGTACCTACCTACCCACCGCCTCTTTGGCTACCTTACATCACACACCTGGCACACACGCACTCTCTCTCCCGGTCAGTGCTCCGCATGCGCAGCATCATATCGAG